AAATGAAAATAGCAACATGATCGTTTTATAAAGTATGCGTTCATACGTGTTAAGGGCTAGGGCTGGAGGAAACAGCTGTGGTGTGATGAGGGGTGAACGCAGCGAAAACTTTACGGGAAACTGACTGTTCCCTCATGATCTTTTGTAAACTGTATTTATGACAAAGAACTGCACAGATACAGATATTATAACAATCTATCGATAAACACACACCTTGTGTCCTCTGTTTCTGTTTGAGTCCACTCGCGCTGCGCCGCCGCGGTCTGCGGATTGAAGAGCGCGCTGAAAGACGGGGAGGAGACGAAGTCTGCCGCCGTTTTCATATGAAATTTAAAGGGGACTGACTCTGAGGCGATCACGAATTTGTGTACAGTTTATAGAGCTCTAAAAATGGCCTAGCGACACCCATGCTTCTTACGTCAATTTCGGAGAACCAGGACAAATATTTCAATCGATCGCTCAGGCATTTAAGTGGTACTGAAATCTGCGTTCTAATTCGGTTCTAGTACATACCGGTTACATGGCACTGGGTTTTGGTACCCAACCCTACCATACATAAGATCTTACATAGCAGTGGACAAATAACGCACCTGCTTCCATTGAGGAATGACGAAAACCACTCCTTACAAAAAGAAGCCGAAAGAAACAACTGCTTGCTGGTGCACAAAAAGACACAGGGCATACCACGATAATAAAAATAGTCCGAAATACATTAAATAAACACATTCTGTACCAGCCACTGACAATATAGCAGTTACAGTTCTTAGATGATGTATAAATGAATTAATGTAAAGCTGGCTGAACAAGACTTTCTCTTGAACTAATGGAAAAGTACTTCAATTATTTTCTATCTCATCATGACTCATGATGCTCATAGATGATTTTTCAAGCAGAGGAAAATGTATGTGGGCTCAAATTATCCTGTCCCTGCTGGAGCTTCCATTGACTCATCACTGAGCGACATTTTGCTTCCTGATGCAAGTTCAACAGCACTTCAGATAGAGATGGGCGTCGAGGTGTTTATTGTTTTTGGAGCAGAAGTGCATCTCTAAATTCCAACACTTCCTGGTCACAGCAGTTGATTCTGGTTTACTGCACATCACGCCTCACCCTAAATTACAAAAAACACTCCATATATATATTTTCAGTGTTGAATGTTTTTATGTGAGCAATGCACTTATAGACACTTTTATCCAACGTGACTTAGGGGGCATTCACACAGGATGCTTTCTTGTGTCCATCTGTTTTTTGAATAGTTTTTTTATGTAAACAGCAATAGACAGACGTCACAGGCACTGCATTTGACTTGCCGTGTCAAGTCAAAAGTAGACATGTAAAAAAAAAGTTGTTGTACACGGTCTGTGGGAACAATCAATGCACTCAAGTAGGGCTGTGCAATTAATCGCATGCGATTGTCAAGCGCATCTCGTCAGTAAAGCCGGTTCCGTGATTAGTAGTAAATCACCATCACCTGCTTTCAGATGGAGCGCCATTTAATACACAGAGCCGTAGTTCACTGACAAGCTAGGCAATATCGCGTTCATAATCTAATGCGATTTCATCTGCGATTATGAACGCGATATTGCCTAGCTTGTCAGTGAACTACGGCTCTGTGTATTAAATGGCGCTCCATCTGAAAGCAGGTGATGGAGATTTACTACTAATCACGGAACCTGCTTTACTGACGAGATGCGCATGAAAATCAAGGCATCTGCACATCAAATGACCAACTCAAGGCATCTGCACATTTTGAAAGCTAAATGCAAGCAACACTTTCCGAAGTCCCAGCATCTTCCCTGGCCAGACTTTACATACTCAACCTGTAGTTTGAAACTATGGGCAGAATATGCACACAGTCTTATGTCATACAGACCTGCACACAGTCTATCACATACAGTTCTGTATACAGAGCTGAAACGAACAATGAATATTTGCAGATTATAAACTAGTGGTCCAGTGAAACATAGAAGCCATGTGTTTCTGAAGAAAACCTGTTGGGTTCCCCAGGAAAGCAGAGCATTAGAGCACATGATCGCTGCAGTCTATGTAACTAAGGTGAGTTGCATTTAGATAAGTAGGTTTGCCATGTGTAGGTTTACCTACACATGGCAGAAACAAACACACTGTTGAACAGAAGAACATCTAACTGAGCTCTAGAGGTCTCACAAACAATAAAGTACAATGGTACTAGCAGGTTTTCTGTAAATGTACATGAAAATGGTAACATTCAACACAAATACATATGGGGTTATTCCACAGTTAGGAGGGGTTTTCTGTCACCTGGGTTTATTCTGAAAAAAACAATCCAATGATTTATTTTGTTGTATAATTTTAAAGGATGTATTATTAGGTTTTAAACATAATAATATTTTATAATAAACTTTAATTACCTTTTTTTTTTCATTTTGGACCTGTTGCCTATCCAGACCCTTCAACCTCTCTTTAAAAAAACTACTTTGCACGTTTTCCTACAAAACTTTTTAATTAATTAAAGTGTGTTATTTCAGTGTATTTTTTCATAAAATAAAAAAATTGTGCTATTACCATCAGGCTGAAAGCAATAGGGTTTTTTTTAAATGTACAATTTTTCCATCCTGATCCGAGTCAGTGACATTGAAAAGTTCACTTTACAAGCTCTCAAAGTAGTCAAAAGTGTCTAACTGAAGAATCCCATATATCATGGTAACATGGTAATACCACAGTACTTTGTGTGTGGGTCAGAAACCTCAGCATGTTTATGACTTAATATTACTTAATACCATTTTCCAGTGGTCAAGAGTGTAATCCTACCAGTCTTCACAGATTACCTGCCTAAAACTACACTCCAGTACAGATGAAATCACTGTACCTTCCGGAACATCACTTGGCACGCGCGCTTCAGCCTTGCAAGCACAGCATTTCCAACTTTAAATGTGTGTCCTCTTCATATTTGGTCACAACAGCGAAGGAACATGATAATCCTTGAAATACAAACTGTTATTTTCCTGTTACGTTCGTCCGGAGACGGCAATCTGGTCTACTTTCTGAGGTGCGCTCGCTCGCTGTTAGTTCAGAACCACCGTTTGCTGGAAACACAGTGCTGTCCATGTCGTGCCTTTCACGCGGAGCTCATATCGTGACAATCTACCTGAGCTCAGGTGCTACGAGTGTTTGTTTCATCCAGACTGGGATTCCCTTCAGTCTCTCTCTCTCTCTCTCTCTCTCTCTCTCTCTCTCTCTCTCTCTCATGAGGACTGACAGCCACCTGAGTTTCAGCACTGTCGCACTCTGTAACCATCTACATTATCGTTAGCCTAGGAGAGGAAACAAATAAAGGAACTTACCCGAACGAAGCTAAATCCCGCGGTGACAGCGCGATCATTTACGGAGAGGTAAAATAGCGAAGTTTTTGGCGTTGTTAATATCGCGGCTGGGCGACCTCAGCGGTTCCAGCGCTGCTGACGTAGGATGATGATAAACGCACATTTGCGTATGTGTTACGTCCTCTGTGATTGGTCGAAGTTGAATCCATGTGTTTGGACTAACTGGGACGCCCGTTTGGGTCCTCAAGTTGAGTTTTAGCAAAGATCCATATCATGTCCTTAAATGTTACTCGTAATCTGTAACATGAGCGTCCTGAACGCAGAACGTGAAGTTAGAGCGTTCAACAAACAAGATGGCCGTGCCGGGGCGTCAGCCAATCAGCGAGGGTTTTACTTGGACTGTGAATCAGCCTATGGTAGTGGAAGCAGTGGGAGGAGAGAAGTGGGGAAAAGTTGCTGTCGGTGCCTCTATTATTTGATCACCTCTGGTGGATCTTTTGGGAACTGCTTCTTGTTAACACTGACATGACAAATTCAGCAGAGACTGGAGCATGTTAAATAGTAAATGTGCATAAATCAATAACCAAAATGACTTGTTTTATCCAGCACCAATTTATAATCAGAGTACAATATTAGAAATGCTGAGAGTATGTGTGTGTGTGTTAGGACTCAATAAAAGTGACCCTGGAGCACAAAACCGGTCATATGGGTAAAACATTTTTTTCTTTTTGAATTGAGATTTATCATCATCTGAAAGCGGAATAAATAAGCTTTCCATTGATGTATGGTTTGTTAGAATAGAACAATATTTGGCTGATACACAACTATTTGAAAATCTGGAATCTGAGGGCGCAAAAAAATTAAAACATTGAGAAAATCACCTTGAAAGTTGTCCAAATGAAGTCCTTAGGCAATGCATATTACTAATCAAAAATTAAGTTTTGATAGGAAGGAAATTTACCAAATATATTCATGAAACATGAGCTTTACTTAATATCCTAATCATTTTTGGCATAAAAGAAAAATCGATAATTTTGACCCATACAATGTATTGTTGGCTAGTGCTACTTATGACTGGTTTTGTGGTCCAGGGTCACGGTCACACACACACAAACATTTTATTGCAAAAATCTATCCACTAAATACAAAAATCAGACCAGTTTCATTGTTTATGCATTTATTTGCTTATAACGGTTAAAAAAAAAAAATTACATTACTTATACAGCTGAGCTCACATCAGTATTCTTACTGAAACTGTCCAAAATAAACTTTTAAAAAAAAATGCATTGTAAAACAGCAAAATTTCTCAAATTTAAACCATCGTAAATTTCTAGATAAATAAATGAGAGCTATGGACTCTATAGAGGCCATTAATTTCATTGAACTGCTCCACTATTTACACATCAAACCCATTTAGATCAAACCGTTAGGAGTCAGGACACAATAAAAATGAATAACATTACTGAACAATAAGGATTAACTTGGTGTCTTAATGAATAGTATTTGTCTTGCTCTGTATTTTACATTAAAACCATTTCATACACAGGATATTACACGCACAAAAAACAACCTCAACCCAAATACATCAAGACGCAAAATCAAAGCGTTCTGTCCCAGTCTGCAAATGTATGTTTGAAATTATAACTTATTAACCAAGTTTGTAGGGAAAAGAAAATAATGGGGCAAATGTATGTGGTTTGTAGTGCCTGAAAACATTAACATGTGCAAGTAACAGTACTGACTAGAACCATCACCGTGTTGTCTGTGCGTTCAAGCCTCAGCACTGAAATGAACGAGTGGGGTCTTTAGATCTATACTGGGAACATGTCTATAATTCTTAAGCCATTATAGCAGTTTAAAACGGTTTTCTTTTAAAGCTGAGCGAGGGTTTTGCGAATGAAGATGAAGTTCATAGAACTGCATCAGTATTCTATATATGCGGTTCGACGCAGCCACAGTAGTGTAGCGCCCCTCCTGGTGGACAGACTGAAGCGCTGAATGTTCAAGTCTGAAGGGGGTTGTCCTCTTTGCTGAAGGGCTGAGTGGAACCAGGCTTCACCCAAGACAGCCCAGACACCGGCAGTCCTTTGTTATAATCCTCTGGCCGCCGCTACAACAACACAAGAAGACCATTGGTCACAATCATTAAGGGTCTAATTAAATTTTCACAACAATTCACTTCTAACCAACCCACAAGTATGTAGAGTAGAAAAAGACAACAGGAAATAGAAAAGGAAACTGTGTTCCACACACACAAGCTCATGCTTTAAAACAAGACATGCATCAAATACCAGGAAGAAGCCAGTTTTTACTTGGTTGTGGGGAGCAGTCAGGGGAGCGTCACACACTCACTTTATGTGCAAACATCTTCTCTTTTGCCTCTTCATGCACCACTGGATTCCACGGAGAGAAGCTGCAGAGAGAAAACACAAACATCAGATGCGGAAAAACAAATGAGCCAAAGTCCAGTCCGATGACTCAACACTGAACTTTTAACCCCACTGAACTAAAACTCCTGGTTTCATTTTCACAAATGAATCCAAGTTTCAAATAGTTAGGCTATATTTACACTGTAAGGCTTAATGCACAAATCCAATCTTTTGACCGATTTTTGTCTTGCCTGGACTCAATATCTGCATTTACATTTATTCCGACCAAACTAGAATGATTCCACTGAACTATTTCAACTGCTGACTCTCGACTTTTGAATGGCTGTAAAATTATTTATATAACTCACGTTGAATGCACAACAGATGCGATAAACCCTGCTTATAACGTTCACTTGCCAACATTGACGCTGTCATTTATTTGTAGCACAAAATCTGACTGAACTAATAAAAAAATAACTGGTTTTTGCCAGTTATTTCTTCTGCGGGTTGTTAGATCTAGAATTCTACAGTGACTTATTTAAATGAATTTGAATAAGAGATTGTGCGTGTGAACTACCTTTGGTCTGTGCAGCATCTCTATATAGCCAATAGGGGTGGGAGAACAAAAAAATCGATTCGCCGATGCATCGCAATTCTCTCTTCAACGATTCTGAATCGGAACATTTCAGAATCGATTCTGAGCATGGTTTTTCCCCGCATATGGCACGTGTGTGCGGTGTGCGCTAGAGACAATCGCGGCGGGCTTCATTGCACAGAATATGCGCTGCGAGACACGTGCGCATTGCTTGACAGTGTGTGCTTCCACCCGCCGTTATTTCAGTATTTTACTTTAGATATGCTTTCATTTATGCCGTTTGGAATGCAGTAAAGATGCATGAAACTCACATATTGACAGACTTTCACGTGTGCTTGATGTCCTGAAGCTCAATCGCGGATGCGGTTAAATGCACTTGCATCTCCAAATACTTTTATACGAAATTGATGTAAACACAGTCGGTTATGTTTTCTGAAAAGGACAAAACATCTGATATATCGAAATAGAAATGTGCATTAGCGGGGCCGGCTCCAGGCAAATGACAGTCTTGCTTGCCCACCCAATCAGAATTAGATAAAGATTGTGTTAATTTTTTTAACAATAATAAAATAACACCAGAAAATTGCAGCATTTTTCTTTTATTAGCTGAATGCAAGGCGCGCTGAATTCATGCGGAGCTTTAGTCTGTTGCAGAAAAGCAGAGGCTGACAACGAGCGAAAACGGGAAGGAGTTTGTGAGTTACAGGGAGTTTAATAGGCTACATGAATACATTTACATGATTCTTGTAATTTATAATTGATTATGACGACAATAGCATTTTTCTGTTTTGCGTTTTCAACAATACAACTGAAATTGAATGGGTGCATATTTTAAAATAAAAATAATATTTGCAGTTCAGATTGATTACTTTACAAAAAATCTTATTCTTGTTCTTTTACTGTTCTTTTTTCTTTATTCCCCTAAATCCATTTAAATCCTTTATTCATTTAGTTTCTTTAAATAAATACTATTACCATAGTGGTCTGGTCTTTATATTTTCCTCAAAACAATTGGTCCCTCCAATGTTCTAGACATGATTACAGCCTTGTTTGGTTTAAATAAAAAAAGTTAGTTGAAAAGAGTCACCAGTGTAGAAACAATGATCCAGAGAAAGAGAACAAAGAGGGCTTTTTTTTTTTTTTTTACTATTCAATAAAGAAAAAAAAAGTTTATTTTGTTGTGAAAGTGCATGATATTCTAGACTGCCCACTGTAAACTTTCAGATGGCCTACTTAAAAGAACACTTATTTTTAAAATAGGTAATTATTTTAAAAAGTAGCCTGCTTATATAATTTAATTGAAAAAAAATTAAATAAAATTTGCACCAAATAAATTTGATATAAAATGTATATGAAAATAGGCCTGGGCGATAAAACGGTATCGATATTTATCGACGGTACACCTTCAATAACGATAGAAAAACTGTTCGATATAGTGCACGATATTGGCACGAGCTCTGAGTGACGCAGACAGCACACACAAACACGAACACATGATGAAATGAGTGCTGTGCCTGCCTGTGATGAGGAGATTGTGAATAAAGAATGAATATTAGTCGAATTTAAAATAAACATTTGCATTTGAATGTTAGGAGTGCGTCAGGGAGCATCATTAGTGGCGCGCGAGATGCGGTGAAGATGTAAGTGACGTTGTTGCATTTTAATGTTTTGTTAGTCTAGCCCACGAGACGCACCGCTGCTGCGTTATTCATTCAAAATATTAGAGAAATATAGAAGCTCAATGCGGAGAAGATCTTGATTAGGTTAAAACCGAAACCAAGCCATTCACACAGACCGCATATTCAGCACTTTTTGTAGACGGACAAATACGACTGCTGCACTCGCGTCTCACACAAGAGATGTAGCCATGCAAAGTTAAAACGGTTTAAACTTTTAGAAAACACGTCACGAATTTGTGGAGGTTTATTCCTTTTCACTGCATCTCATACGTTTTTAAATGCAATCTGCGTGAATGTCGCTTCGGCTCTTTGGATTAAGCAATGCATAAATACATGATGCTGAGAACAAAAAATATTTGTTGTTTGTCTCATTAAATTGGGTTAATTAAAAAATACAGTGGTTAAATTAAAAAAAATGTAAAAAAATTATATTGTTCCTCGTTTTAAAAAAAGGTTATAAAAAAAAAAAATCAATAATTATCGATACCGAACGATATGAAACAATATATCGTTGATACATTTTTTAGCTGTATAGCCCAGCCCTATATGAAAATGTATTGAAAATAGAGAATGTGACGCATCGTGATATTGAGTTGAATCGAATCGTTGACATGATAATCGTAATTGAATCGAATCGTGAAACCACTGAAGATTCACACCCCTATATTTAAGATGGCAGTACTGACTTACAGAGATTCCAACTATAAACAAAAAGAATAAAAACTACATTTTAACCAAAATTGCAAAGTTGTAAAGATGTATTTGCACCGCAGAAGAATTAGGAAAAAATGTAGATCAAGAATCGTTTTGGAATTGGATCATGACTCCCAGAATCGGATCGGATCGGATCGCGAAGTGCCTAAAGATTCCCACCCCTAATAGCCAAGCTGTGAGTTTACTTAAAAAACACTAATGTTATCACCTCATTGGTGAAAAATGAGGTGATAACATTAGATATTTTATTAATAATATTCATGGGGCACTGGCTCAAAACAAGTTTCTATGCTCCCGAAATGTGCACAAATTATATAGTTTCCAAAAAAAAAAAAAGTTTCCATCTCAAAAGAAGCTGCGAGTTGTGGGGGCTTGGAGTTCGAACTTGGATATAGATCAGATGTCCAGGTATCAGATTGGTTTATGATCAAGTGGCTCAGAGCAGATCCAAAAAAATAAAAATATTTGTTTACATGTGTGTAACAATATGCAATCTGTGTCAGATGAGAGTTCAGATTTTTTCTTTTTTGTCCCAGTGTAAATATAGCATAAGATTTCATAATTGTGGAGGAAAACTTCACAATACAATATCAAGGTGCTGTACTTAATGTGCACAAATTATATAGTTTCCAAAAAAAAAAAAGTTTCCATCTCAAAAGAAGCTGCGAGTTGTGGTGGCTTGGAGTTCGAACTTGGATATAGATCAGATGTCCAGGTATCAGATTGGTTTATGATCAAGTGGCTCAGAGCAGATCCAAAAAAATAAAAATATTTGTTTACATGTGTGTAACAATATGCAATCTGTGTCAGATGAGAGTTCAGATTTTTTCTTTTTTGTCCCAGTGTAAATATAGCATAAGATTTCATAATTGTGGAGGAAAACTTCACAATACAATATCAAGGTGCTGTACTTGCCTTATTGCATAAGGGTCATCTATCTTGGGCTGATCAAACAGGTGACTATTGCATAGCTTGACACTGTCTACCACCTTGCTTTTGAAGAGCTGGATGTCTTTGTCATACCTGCACAGAAAGCATTGATATAAGTAAGCAAAAGCAGTCGTGTTTATAGGACTTCAAAACAAGCTCTTAACTACTGAAAGGCACAGCTAAGAGGAAATGAATGTGTGTGCGTGTGTGTGTGTGTGTGTGTGTGGGGGGGGGCAAGCATATGAGAGAGATATTGTGGTTACTTCATTTCACCGAAACAGAAGCAACTTCAGTGGCTGACACTTTTAATGTATGTGCTGGGAAGAGTTCAAACTGTGGAGACGGAAAAAAAGAATATAGAGTCCATTACTCACAGCACTGCAGCCTCTGGGTTGAGTGGATCCATGGTGTTGATCTTATAGAAGATTGTGCGGGCGTACATAAGGACCTGCCAGATATGATTATGGTTTCGCCTGCAAATTTATATAAATTTAAATAAAATGCTTTTCCAATAATCACACAGTACACAAAAAAAATAAGTATTCCCAAAACAACCTTGATGTCAAAAATTTCAATATAGCAGGTTTTTATTATTTTTTTTAAAACAGACCTCCATTTGGTGAAAGCTCTCCTCACATCCAGCTCTCCAGAGACCGGGTTCACTAGCGGGTGGAAAACTGGGGTGTCGAAAACAACCCTCTGAAAAAAAACAAAATGCAACAAAAGAACAACAGATCAGCTCTTCTGGTGGCAGCAAACGGAGATGACATGGGCATTGTAAAAATGTGTTCCCAAACATTTTGAACAATTAGTCGCTCGTGAGTTAAGCATAGCTATTATTATCAATAGACATTTCCATGACTTAAAGGGATAGCTCACCCAATAATGAAAATTCTGTCATTAATTATTCACCCTCATGTCGTTAAAAACCCATAAGACCTTCGTTCATCTTCGGAACACAAATTAAGATATTTTTGATAAAATCCGAGGGCTCTCTGACCCGCTCATAGACAGCAACGGAACTGAAATGTTTCCAGCAGGGCCGGAGTGGGACTCATTTTCAACCCTGGAGTTTCATGCCTTAGACCGGCCCACTTTTTTTTTTTTTTTTTTTTTTTTCAGTGTTGCCTTTTGCGCTTTCTCTCTATTTAACAGCATTAACTTACAATGAAAGACGTCTTCCCTCAGGTAGATTGAATGTTGTCCTTCCTTGCTGGATGTTGGGCTCATGATCAATAAGTTGTTTGCATTGGCCCAAACCGATTTGGCAAAATCAAAACTCGGACGGTGAAGGGAACTGCCGTCAGTGCGAGTCCTGCTCGTTGTGAAGCGGGAGCAGCCGGCAGAGGATTCCGCTTGGTCTTAAAGCCTACCTTAAACGGCTTCTTCACAAATAAAACAATGATTTCCGCAAAAAGAATGATTAATTATCAATTGAGAATTTGTTATTGATATGGTCTAGTGGAAATAATATGGGCTGCGAGAAAATAATAAATAAAAAGAGCGGGGCTGCTATGAGTGCAGGCAGTCTAGGGACAGCATCCATATTTCAACCCAGTGGCATGACAACACCGGCCCTTGTGGCCAAAAATACAGACCGGCCCACCGGGAATCCTCCCGGTGCTCCCGATTAGCCAATCCGGGCCTGGTTTCCAGACCCAGAGACGTAGTAAGGACATCGGTAAAACAGTCCATATGACATCAGTGGCTCAACTTCAATTTTGTAAAGCTACGAGAATACTTTAATGACCACAGAGTCATAAACCTTGTCATATTACAACACAAAATTCAGAGGAAAAATGTGTGGAAATTGCATACTATACTTACAGGACAGTCTCCATCTGGGTAGTTATCAGGAATGTAGACGGTGAACTTAAACACACCATCTTGGTACAAGCCATGTCGAATGAAAATTACACCAAACCACACTGCAATAGAGAAGACATTGATGGATACTTAACAGAGCGAGTCAGCAATATAGAAAATCTATTTAACTCTTCAACTCCATTATCAAACATTGATAATTTCACAGGTAATCTATTTGAGGATTCAAAACAAGCAATAAAACACAATGAATAATGCTGTGCTCCATTCAAAAACAGGTGTGGGAGTCTTCTATATGCCTGACTTGTGACCATATTGACTTCTGTGGTCTGATGTTTAGTAGATGCATAAAGAAATAAAATGGCAATCCTAGTATATGTTTTGTGTGAGAACATATTACATTCGATTTCATTAATCATGCACATCTCCCTGAACACCAACATATTCACGTGACACTGCAACCCCATTTTGACAGACATAGAATTCCATACAAGGTTCCAAGTTAAATCAACTGCACATTCTGTTGCACTTTTCCAAGCAGGAAGTTGGAAATTCTTTTGGAGTTGAATGGAATGCAGCATAAGCTGTTTCACACAATGCTCAATCTGTGCATTCGGTGTACAATTGATATGTATATTACAAAAGAGAGCAATCAGAATTATTAATAATGTGGGATATCTGGAACAGACAAATGTATTATTTTTACAGTCAAATATATTGAAGTTTATTGATTTGGTTAAATTTGAAACTGCACAAGTTATGTTTAAAGCAAGAAATAAGTTACTTCCGGGAAACGTACAAAATTTTTTTTTGGAAAGGCAGGGCGAGTATAACTTTAGGGAAGAGTTAAACTTTAAAAAGATTAATATAAGAACAACTTTAAACAGTATGTTTATCTCTGTTTGTGGGGTGCGGTTTTGGAATGGTTTGGAGCAGGTGTTAAAGCATTGAATAAATATTAAACGGTTTAAAACGTTGTATAAAAACACTTTATTAAAAGGATATGTGGCTGTATAGAGGTGATTGTGAGGGTTGTGGGGGTTATAATGTTGAATGTATTAGGATGGGTGATTGTGGGGTGACTGGTTGTTTTGGATAAAAACCATTTGGTTGGTGTTTAAGTTTTTGTGGATTTGTCATTTTGGAAGGAATTTATAAAAATATAAAGATACCGATGTACTATATTAATAGATATACTGGAACGATATGGAATTGTATATGGGGTGGGAAAAATAATAAGCTTTTGCTTCATCCCGCTCCTTTTCGGACATTTGGTATAACGTCTTTGGGACGTGGTTTTCTTTGGTGATGCAACATGGAAGAGGTGCTAGTGAGGCCAGCAGGGGGTGCTCACCCTGTGGTCTGTGTGGGTTCTAGCACCCCAGTATATTGATGGGGACACTATACTGTCAACAAGCACCGTCCTTCGGATGAGACGCTAAACCGAGGTCCTGACTCTCTGTGGTCATTAAAAATCCCAGGATGTCTTTCGAAAAGAGTAGAGGTGCGACCTCGGCATCCTGGCCAAATTTGCCCATTGGCCTCTGACCACCATGGCCTCCTAATAATCCCCATATCTGTTGGTTGGCTTCATCACTCCGTCTCCTCTCCACCAATAAGCTGGTGTGTGGTGGGCATTCTGGCACACTATGGCTGCTGTCGCATCATCCAGGTGGATGCTGCACATTGGTGGTGGATGAGGAGGCTCCCCCTCACAATGTAAAGTGCTTTGAGTGCCTAGAAAAGCGCTATATAAATGTAATGAATTACAACATATTTGTTCTGTTTATATTTGTTCTGTTTATATTGTGCTTTGTTCGAAATAAAAAAATGAAAATGAAAAATGAAAGCATCTGTGACAGACAGAATACAGAGGAAGACGTGCTTACTTAGTGCTGATCTGTATGAAGGCTGTACATAGATGCCAGGGAGCTTCTGCTTGATCACCAATGTGCTGCAACAGACAGATGGTCATAATTGCACATTTCAAACATACACCTCAAAATATGCTGCCAAACTTAAAGGGTTAGTTCACCCAAAAATGAAAACTCTCTCACACGGCTCTGGGGGGTGAATAAAGGCCTTCTGTAGCAAATCGATGCGTTTTTGTAAGAAAAATATCCATATTCAAAACATAATAATCACTTTAATGTAGCTTGCGCCAACAGTCCTACACGGAAGCAGCCCCGGGCTGATGGCGTATGAGTTCAGCGCTGCGCATGCGCTGGTGAGTCTCGTGAAAACCAACATTTGTTAACAGGAGCAAAGGAAGCAAAAATTCCTTACTTTAGCAAAGGAAAACCAGTCTCCTCTTGGCTTACATCGAAATCCTCCGACATTCTTCTTTACAAATCCTCATTTTGTACTTCTAATTAGTGACCATTGTTTTGTTTTGATCTCTCCCCTGCGCTTCCGCGTTTGTCACTTCTGAGCGGCGCATGCGCAAAGCCGACCTTCATACGTCACCCGCCCGGAACTGCTTCAGTGTACAACAGTGAGCGCAAGCTACATTAAAGTGATTACTACGTTTTGAATATGGATATTTTTCTTACAAAAACGCATCGATTTGCTACAGAAGGCCTTTGTTCACCCCCCGGAGCCGTGTGAGACACTTTTTTTTTATGGATGGGCGCTTTTTATTTAACTTCTTTTGGACTGATGCATGCAACACCCGCTGAGTGCCATGAAACAGCTTGAAAGATCAAAGACAATTTTTAATATAACTCCGACTGGATTCGTCTGAAAGAAGAAAGTCATATACACCTAGGATTACTTGAGGGTGAGTAATTTATGGGCTAATTTTCATTTTTGGGTGAACTAACCCTTTAAGGGTGTTGCTACACAACTCCAAGACAACTGCTGAATAACAAATGTGACACATATTGTTATTTAATTCAGTTACTGTATATGATCATAAAATTATATTCAAGTATGAGATGTTTTAGAATCACAGCTTCATTTGAGCTATTCAACGCTTCTAAAAAACCATCAAAACTCTTATTGCCCAAACCCTAGTCAAAGCCTGTAGAACCTGGTCTTTTGTACAGTTACCCATGAAAACCAATAAATAAAAACAGAGCATAACTCACAACTCGGCGAGCAGCGAGTACTCCAGGTAAAAGGGGCCATATGAGGCATGGGTGCCATTGGCAGACTGTGTAGAGGAGGCCGGCGAGGTGGCTTTAGTGATGGGGACGGCATTCTTTGGGATGGAGGGAAGCTGCTTTTTACCAAACGGAGGACGAGCTGGACTGGATCTCTGCTCCCCTTGGCCACCCTGCTCATCACCATCAGATCTCTGCATAAACAAATGACACTTATTTAATGGTTCTAAAATCTATAGAAACCTTTTATTTGCAATAGTTAATAATGTTTTAAACATCTGAAATTTCCAGGGCCATATCAATGATCATCTAAATACTCAACATGCCTAATAATGTCCAGCATAATTTCCTCAAGGAAATATGTACATTTTCAATGCAGTAAATGAAACTAGCAGTACTTAAATAACTCAAAGTACGTTTTTTTAACTGTACAACAGTAAGTTGCTAGAATAAAAAAAAAAAAATAGAAAAGTGATATGCTACAAATGCAAAATATAAATATTTATTTTCTTTTGAATGTAAGTGAGATGTGATGTTGAAGTGGAAATCAATTGGAAAACTTTTGCAAGCTTCTTTCTTACACATTTTTCTTACCGATTATGCCTTCATCCACCAGTACATATCTAGCACTGTTAATACATTTTACCATATTTAAATTAATTATGCAGAATTCCACTTTTTATTTTCCATAAATCAGCAGAGAGAGAAAAAAGAAAAAAAACACACAGACTCCAGCAGGGCTTCCTTGACTAATAATTCAAGAGACTATGAAGATAAAAATCAGTCACCAGAAATTCATAGGCAGTAGAGGCCTAGGCCTGGGGCTTAATGAAATGAAAGACTAACACAGCAAATTGATTCAGCTATTCAGCACACAGCCTGTAATAAAGCCAATGACAACAAAATACAGCAAAAATCACAGAATACAGTCAAAAACACCCTTGAAAGAAATTACTAACAGCTAGTCCAAGTGTCTATCATAAATCAAACAGAGAGCAGTTGGGTCATGAGTCAGCATCTATTAAGAAACAGCTGATTTTAACGTCTTTATGACAGCTGTGATGCCACGCCACACCACACCCAAGTCAGGACAACACCTTTGTAGTCTACAACAAAAACTGTTAGCCAAATCAAAAGCACTAATTGACTGCAATTCTCAGACTTTAGCAAGAGATTAAAAACCATAATTCCAAAACAAATTAGAATTGAGTGACTACTAGACTAGCCTCCATCGTTCTGTAGGAAAAAAGTCCTCCTCCACTACAAAAGCTTGTGACTTTAGAGAGGCTGCTCTGTGCAAAATCACCTTTAGACCCTGAGCCTTCCACGTGATTGCTTATTGAAGTCACCTGTTGTAAACATTACTCTGTGAACAGTCATTTAGATTTCAGGTAAAGGACACTAGGATGTTTATATATGCTAACAATGTCAGAAAGGATCTCATTTTTGTTTTTTTTAAATATGCCAGTTCACACATTTGCATTACAAGTATCGCTTTTACAGCACATTGTCTGACAGGAGAAATGGTGAGAAATCGTGTGTCAATCTCACAAACTGATCCACCAGCTAGTTTAACAGGCTAGAAATAAATGATAGGATCAAGAGGTCAAATGTGTTCATGAGAAGACATACAGGTGGACTGCCATAATTCACCTTACGACCAGCGTTTGTCGACATGCTCCAAAATGGGTTCATTACTCATTGAGCTCTCGATGGGTGTATGCTTGCTCACTGTTTGGTGGCATTCGAAGAATTCGCTGTGAGAGAAAGAGACAGAGAGAGAAAGAGGAAAAAAGTGCTGATGAGAGCCTGGACATTTGGAGAACACAATGGGCAACCTGATGCTTTATGGCAGTTGGTGTCAATCCAATCACCGCTAACCATGTTGTTGTCAGAACTAGTGAAAACTTCAGTGAGCTACAGTCTATATTTGTCAATATTATCATCCTAAGAGACCCTCACTCTAAAACTTAAAAGGCAGCTCTCTCTCTCTCTCTATATATATATATATATATATATATATATATGACCAGGCTTGTTGGTGGTCCCTCATGTTAGGCTTAAGCGTAGAGGGGAGCGTGCATTTGAGTTGGCAGGGCCACGACTCTGGAATACCCTTCCTTTAGAGTTTAGAATGGCCCCTTCTTTGTCTGTTTTTAAGTCTTTGCTAAAAACTTATTTGTTTTCCTTAGTGTATTGACTACTGTGATATGGAAATTTTTAAATGTGCGGTTTTAAAGTTTTGTCCGGTTTGTTCTCTGTGTATGTGGTAAAATTGTTACTCTTCTGGAAAGCACTTTGGTCAGCCTGGTGGCAGTTGTATATGTGCTCTACAAATAAAATGAACTTGAACATATATATAAACATCCAATTTATACTAAATTAATATTAGAAATGTAAATAATTATTAGCAAAATATTTTAGTTTCTATTAGGTTACATACTGGCTATTTTTCTGTTTCTTTATTTTATATTTTTAAACGCTTCTCAAACGTTTTCCATGGACCCCAAAACCTCTGGTCTACAAGAGCAAACAATCAATTCTACAGTCATCAATATTTGCCGTTTTGAATAGCCAGATCTAACAGACATTAACCTAAGGCCCAAGAATTTGCCATATAGCTCACATGAAATTATAACCAGGGTGAGGAAAAATCCAGCTGTAATATTATACAGTGACAGTTGTCAACGCCTGAGACACTGGACGAACCGCCTCAACTAGAAACAAGAGCTCGGACTCCTCGTAAGGCAAATATATTGCCTTTATTTCTACCTGACACCCACTACAGGAAGCGTTGTTTGGTGACCAGTCAAATTTAGCGTTTAATGAAGTGTTCTCTGGGTGAAAACACAGTTTTTAAAGCAGAGTTTGCGTTACTGTTACGGTATTTGTAATATGGCCAGACTAGCCTTTATTTAGCAAAACCTCCACATAACTAACGGGGTTCCACTTACCTGAGAGAAATAATGTCACCTGGCTGAAGACATGTTACACGGTAACTTGTCCAAATGTGAAACACTTTGATTTAAACTATTTTTTAATTCTACAGTTAACTAAACCACCGTCGACCCTGTTATCCGAATAATCTCACGCAAATACCGAACACACCTCTAACTAACTTGACAGGAAAAGGCGGGACATAAACAAGTGAGAGACGGTGATTGGCTCTCATTGTGAGTGACAAGCGCTTCACCCTATCAAACGTTCAATACAGCAATCCGCAAGGTTAAATGTCTCCAGGTTAACGTTTAGAGAGCAAATATTTGGCACATACCGATCATTTTACATGGAAAATAGTGTGGGAATGACATCAGCCGCAAAGTGTACAGCGAAAGTGGGTTTAAATCAGCTGGCAAAAAGACTTGCTTCTTATGTTGTCAACTCAAGCTATAAACTGAGCGTTTTAACGGACGTGAGTTGTGGATTTGAGTTTACAGTACGATATACACGGGCATATCTACGTTAAACGTTCATAAACCTTTGTAAATCAGAATGGACTTTGAGAAACTTACCGTGCTAAACTCAGAACATTTCACGCGTTTTTAATACATGTAGTATCCACCCTCCCCGCTGACGGACGGCACAGAAAGAGCTCGCGCGCTGTCATTGGCTCATAGAGACGCACGGTGCACTCTATTGGTGCATTTCCCTGTTAATCATGTCAGACCAAGGTAGTAAGCTCGGATTGGTCCTTTTAATCATGCTTTTATGTGAATTTATTAAACAGATTCATTGGAAGCTATTCATACATAATGAGGTCAATTTATTACGAGCTTTAGTGTATCTACAGTCAACCATTGTTTAAATTTAAGGCAAATCACTTGTTATAAAAATAGGAATATGTAATGTATTTCTTAAATTTTTATATTAGCCTTTATAAAACCAAAACGTCAAATATTCCTAAACTATAACACCGTTGGAGTAGAAATAACGTAACGTAGCCTATCAATTCTCTTCATATACTAAAATAAGAAAAGTTCCGAGTTTTTAGTAATTATAAGAAATGTTTGAAGGTAAATCTGATGACGCACACTTTTGGTCTTTCACTTCAGCGTTCTGGAATAAAGTTAAGAAGCAAATATATTTTCCGCATACACAGTCATTGGCAAGTGGCTTGACTGATTTTGCAATGTCCCCTTTAGGACAACAGAGGGAGTCAAATACTAGGAATCAGAGTAATTCAACAATCTCCCCTACTGACTGCCTAATTTCACCCTCTCTAAATAGGCACACAGGCTTTTGCTTCAGAAATCAGTAGTGTCATTATCAAAACTGTCAATGATGATTTCATTACATGGTCACAATAGATGATTACATATAGACAGTTTCATGGTGGCCTGCTACAGTAGTATGAGTGTTCTTCCTGCTGTCTTCTGGAGTAATTGCACTGTAAAATTTGGTACCTGATGTTTGATTGATTGATTTATTTGAGGGATATGCCTAATAATAATTAATGAGGAACAGAAAGAAAAAGAAAAAGCTAATTTACTGCTTCACCGATTTACCTAATTGAGGAAAATGACATTGTCCAGAACTGAAAGTGGAAGCTAATTATTGTTTAATTATCTGATTCCATTTTGTTTTTCAATGCAGTCTGCTAATAAAAGTAATTGGCCTGTAGTTTCTTGATGCAGCCAGTAAACAAAGCAAGGTCACTGACTCATTGACAGAATGAATTTGACTGGATTCCAGTGGCATTTCCAAAATGTAAATGTTGGACACGAGAAAGGTGATTGCACTCGGCCTCAAATGCAAATACTCTCTGGCCTACCTGAGCTGGATAAGTTAAGAATGTTGCCAGCACAGAAAATGACTGTTTGCTTTCTTCAGCAAATAAAATAATGTGGCACAGTCTGGTTTCAGCCTGAACATTTTAATGTCATCCTGATGTTGTGTAAGAACAAGTCAATGCTGAATGTTTTATATGTTCTGCTGTGAAATAGTAATAGCAATATTTGTGTATAGTTTTCTGTAGGCAACAGTGGTACTGTCTCTTAGGGATTGTAATGTATGAGTTCACCTAATGAGGTCTGACCTAAGAGGTCAGCAGAGCTCAAATTCAGCAAGTCTTTTTGTGCTCCCATTTAGTCTTTAACATAAGCAGGAAGACCTGTTTAAAAAGCCTTTTTTGAGAAGACTTTAAAATAATGGATTTCCAACAGGCTTTCAGAAGGTGTTTGCTCCCTTGGTCCGTTGTTTGAAGTGAAAAAAGCAACACTAATGAGTGGCTGGGTTGTTGTTTTGTCCTTTTTTGTTAGCATTGATTAATGTACCAAACTTTCTAAAAAGCAGACACTCAGTAGCCCATTGTGTTTGAAACTGCAGATGAAAAATATCCTGTGCTCATCCTCTCCATCACTCTGTGTCTCCTCTGAGACACCAAGGGCCTGCTTATTCTGATCTGCAATTTGGTTTAAATGACAGTTAAAAATTGCAATTGGCAGCCCCCCAGTGAAATATGCCATGACAACAAAAGCCATAAAGCAGGCAGAACGAATGACTTCGCGTCTACATAATAAGTAATAACAATGTTAGTTTGAATAAGAAAAGCCAGAGATGGATTCAGATGCAATATTCATTGTTGGAATATGCACGACTGGGGAGAGGAAAGAGGAGGGAAAAAAGCATCAGCCGAGTCCCACACACAGCAATAGTCTTGTCTTATCCCTTAGGCTATGGCCCGGCTAGCACCTCAATGCAGCAATTATTTGCTATAATGACTGCAGTTCAAATAAGCCCGGAGATTTTATTAAACCAAATGAGGAAATCTTCAGTGTATTATCACCTTGTGATTGACAGTGACAAGTGTTGGGCCGGCTCAGATGTGAGTGTGATGAAGAAGCTCTCTGCAAAGCTCTCAATAATGTTCCCCCTGATAAAGTTGTCTATTGAACTCCAGCGAGAAGAGAGCGCAGAACTGCACGCATATTAATTCTCATTGTCAAGAGGTGGTTAAGGTAGCAAGGGCAGACAGAGGAGCGAATAGTCTGGCTGGGCTGGAAGTCCCTTACACTGCCTGGGCTGGCATTTTACTGCACTAATGAAAAGGAGATCTATTGTGCCCGATCATGTGTGTAGATTTTACTATATGATAGTAATAATGAAAGAGAAATATTCATATTAAAAGCAAAGGTCATTCCCAGAGTAGGCTAAGCTTTCCTAAGCTGCAACCTTTACAGGAAAAGACAACCTGTGATGCAGATGAAGAGGAAAGAGGAGTGAGAGAAAAAGAAAAAGAAAAAGAAAAAGAGACAGAGAGTGCTGTTTCTTAGTCTGGACAAAGGGGGGAGACAATGCACTGTTCATCAGCTGTGTTTACGCACACCTAAACCCTGCTGTAAGGGATAAGGGTTTATTTTGAGATAATGACCATTATTCTGGCGTAAGCAGACTGTTAAATACAGTTTGACATGGTTAAAAATATATTATCTAAAGGCTTCTATTAGAAGTGTCCATTGCAACATACAAAATGACAAAAATTGTAACAATATTTGCAATATAATTAACAATATTAAAAGTTACATTAATTTGTGAAAATTAACATAATGAACAAAACATGTCATAATCAGAGCATAGTTTCTGCAATAATCGAAAAGCTGATGGAAAAATACTATTGGGTTTTTGGAACCAAGGTGATGCAAACTTCTGGTTGGCCTACACATCATCACATAGGGTGTATGGTTATGTTGGTTGTGTTCGAAAGCTTAGGCAGCTGACTTGATGCCTCGCTGCCTTATCAGGCAATGACTTCACACTTCACAGGCAGTGTGTGTGTGTGTGTGAGGCAGCATAATGGTTTAATGATCTACAACAAAATATAGAGAGCTTTGGTGATAAGAAATAATATAAAAAGTGAAAAAAGTTGGTCAAAAACCTGCATTCACACAAAATGACAATCATCCACAACTTTCAGGTGCCTTTTTTAGCTCGACGTACAGGACTGTGGCAGCAAAAGATCAGATGAAGGCATCTTAGGAGAAGGAAGTGAAGCTAACATTGGATTCGGATGTGCCTTGGTGCCTTCCTATCTTGGAATGCATCCTCCAAAGGCAGCATTTTTCAGCTTTCGGACCTTGCCAAAGAGTAATCTGCTGGCAGTGCAAAAAGTTGGCCTTTGAGGTGTTTTTTTAGCAGCCAGTTTTTGGCAAGAGCCAAATCAAGTCACCTTTATTTCTAAAGTGCTTTATACAATACAGAATGTGTCAAAGCAGCTTCACTGTGATAAACAGCGAAAATAACAGAATCAATTATGGAAACTCAACTATGAAGATGATTCAGATTCTGCAATAAAGCAGCTCTAAAAAGACAATATTGTCATTATAACCACAATCAGATAACACCTTAATCATGTCAGAAAAATAAGATGTACTTATGAAAATATTTGAGAACAACTTAGGATTTTTTTTCTATGACCGCCCTATCTAATTGACAATCCAATGAAATATAATCAAATTGTGATGTCAGCATGAATGATAGGTGTCATAATTCACTATTGTTGCTTGGGTATGTTATGCTAATCTTAACAGATGTGCACGCTGAATGATATAACTTAATTTTAACTATAAGAAACTAGCAACCACACAACAGTTTTAATCAAAAACATAGGCAAACTCACTTTTAATAACCAGTGCACAGACGATATGAAGAATTCTCTTTAGGCTGGATGCTCTGGTCGTTCTTTTTTTAGACTCGGGCAGAGTTGCTTTGAAAGACAGTGCACACATTATTGTCTGCAGTATGTGAATGAGCGAGTAAGTGATGTGGGCTCTATGTCCGCATATGCATCACACACGCCACCATTTATTAGAGCCGTGCACTAAGTACAGGCCATGTTATTGGATTTGAGTAGTACCGACTCCCAGACACGTTCTCTGGCGCTGGATATATATTAAGATGAAGCAATCTCATTTAATAACACCCAAACTAATAAAAGGCAGAGAAGATTGGAAATTAAATTTATGAATATTGCTCAGCAGCAGGGGTTAGCCCAAAAAGGCAGGCTTGAGCTGTCAGTCTTGAAGCAGACGAGTTCTTATGAGGTTCAGACGGGCTTCTGGAGAAACTGGGAGAAACTCTGGCACAACCTTCAAAAGCAGGAACAGAGAAAGCACTGTG